AATAGATAAATCCGTGAATAAACAAGTGGATAACCGACGTAATAAATGATACCATAAATCCATCAATCAACAGACAAACGAATGAATGTTTCGTTAATAAACGAAGTACGACGGTCACGCAGATCGATCAGTTTTTCACAGCTGGAACGACATTAATTGCGCTGACAAATAAATAATCGGGGCGCAAATTGCACGCGCGGAACCTTTAATGGACCGTCGCTGACTTTTTACTCCTTCCCTCCCCTCATTGTCCTTCCTGGGATTTAATTCTGCGGTCCCCGCAGCGATCGATTCTAATTTCATCCGCATAAAAAATTCAGCGCGGCTCCCCGACGCCAGAGTTTTAGAGGGCGAGGGAAGGGGCCGGCATCGAATGAGACCGCCTAATTTCTAATTAAGGAGCGACTCCCGATTAGCTTGCGCAGCCACGAACACAGAAATCGCCGGCGACCACAGTACCAATGGAACACTGCGGGAAAGAGGTAGAGGGAAGCGAAAGGGATTATCAGTGATGTTGCCAACCCTCCCGTAGCTAATATTGCATTTGCATCGCAATTGCGCCATTGCCTTGTCATCAATCTCCTATGTATGCGCGTCTCCTGTATCTCTTCGCTTATAAACGTCATATCATTTAACATTTTATTCCTTTTTATTAGGGATGACTTACTTCTTATCAGGGATGGCAAAAGTTATTTGCCATCCCTGCATCTTGTATAATCCTAATCTTAATCTTATCACTTTTATTTCATTTTAAACTTCTTCAGGAGATGGACGTTTCTCGTCAGGCTGTGTGCGCCTAATCGCAGCTCGTATTAAAACTGAAATTAGGTATGAAAAAAGGAAAGGCAAAAGCGCTCGAAATTACACGCGGAAATTGATAGCGAGAACGCGGGTGATTTTCTTAATGGTCGCGATCGCGGTCATTCCTCGTCGGATTCCTGGTTGCTTATTCAGGATAGCGCTCGCGATCCCGGGTTATAGTTTTTAATTGTTGACCGGGACGACAGTTATGTTTCTGCGGAGATCAGGCGGAGGCGGTTCCCATCCGGGGCGGACGGTGAACGCCATGAATACGCCATGGCGCGCCCGGGATGAGTTCGCTCGATGGTAATCACGTGTATTATTAATGCGTAAGCCGCAGCGCGCCATTGATACGTCGATAGTGCGCCATTAGCAGCGGCTGCGGTCGCCGACTGTACGTCGCCTATGCATCCTCGCATTGCCGTTTACAATGTCGCATGTAACTGATAACTACAACTTCCTCGTAATATCGCGGTTGCGACCCCCGCCCGCAACATTACCCCGATTCACGTGCTCGTTCTTAATTTCCGCGAGATCGAATGCAATAACGTCCCATCCTTACTCCGCGATATCGTCGCGACGTAGTTTTAATTATGGATGCGTGACGCACGATGTGTGACGACGAAACAAACTAATATAATCGTATGCGTTTAATACATTATGATAACGTAATGTATTAAATTAATCGACATCAATAATTCGTATTGTAACAGTAAATGCGTAATTTACCTCAAATTATATACCTCGTAATATCGCAACTGTATCAATTGATGTATTATTGATGCTAATACGCGTCATTATCTTCGAATGAAATATCTTATTGCAACACTTGCAATAATGAGGATCTCTTTTCTTACGTTGAAACAAATTTGCCAAGTCTTACATATTTCTTTGAAACAGTACTACTACAAGTAAACAATAACTTATAAATATTTATTCAATGATAGTTAAATCAAATTAACTAATGGTATTTATGTCAAATAAATATACATTTAGTAAATATGTACTCGGATATATTCGAACGTATATTTATTAAAATTTAGTATTTTTTTTTTTCAATATATGCTACGCAATCCGTCCGTCCCGAATGGAAAGCAACATTAATCCAATCAGAAACGGAATTGTCGCTTCAATAAACAATTAAATACAACGCTGTCATTTTTCGCTGATTAGATGCGCGCGAAGGGAAGCTTGAAAGCCGGATGTTCTTGCAATTAACTACATTTCCCACATTCTGACGTAAAATTGCCCGAAGCGATCGCAATCGATTTCATTCGCGAGAGAGGTGCATAGGCGGTTGCATCCGTTGTGGCTGGAGAATGACGTGGGTTCGATTACGCATTAACAACGTAATTTTTTTCACCGTGCAGAAGATACGACGCAACGTGGTATGGACAAAAGGGGAGAAGGCCCGCACATTCTCGATCGTCGACATCCGCCCGTATCGCATTGAGAAAAATGATACGATAAGCAAAAATTTTACCTTTCGACGAGCTCTCGTTGTCGTACACGAGCGTGCGAGATCATTACAACGATTAGATCGTTGGATATATCGAGATGGAGTCCTTTGGAATTTTACACTATTTCTACCGGTGTCTAATCCTCCTGCAGCCATGTGAAATTTTGCATTTTCCATCATAGATTTTTTCAGCGTGCACATTTTTATATTGATCTGGACTGTATAAAAATCTGAAATTTTTGCATACTTGTGAAAGTATGTATATGTATACTCGCTTCAGCGAGTTTTTACTATGTTATAAAAGTCGGATTTTACTTATTTTTTTTTACAGATTTAAATTCATCTATCAGAATTTTACAACGAAAATATCGACTGTACTTTCAAAGTTCGACTTGGCCAGTGGAGGGTTAATTTTAACTCTCCGTCTACAATCGGGATCTTTTTTGTCCAGCTCAAGTTTTTTACTAGTCTTTCAAACAATGTGGAAACATTCAGGGTTACTTTCAACATCTCTGTTACATTGGCAAATAGTTTTTAATTCAAATGTTAAAACCTTTCTTTACTAAAAATTGAAATTTGAGCAAAAAAAAAAATAAGGATGAAATTTGAGAGTGAAATTTTGCTTGGGGTTACAAAAAGATTCGAATTACAGACGGAGAATTAAGAAGAATGGCTTCGTTTCGCTGTGGGACGCAGTGCTTTAATTTCGATTGTTATCAAATATCCGCGTTACTATTGAGAATAAAAAGAAGAATCGGATCTCTCTCTGTAATTAGAGAATCGCGAGTTGACGATAGCGTGACTTTTCCTCACGATTCCACCATCGAGCTCTTTCGGCTCGCGGGAAAACCCGAGCTTTTCCTCAGGTTTGAACTCGGGGCTTGAATTGCACGCGAGACCGGTTACGTTGAAGCTCGAGTTTGACGGTTTGATCTAAGTTCTCGGTGGCCGCAAACTAATTTCGCTTCATCCCTCCTCTTGCAGGGCCTCTTTGTCTTCCGAGTCAACAAGTCCGTGTGCAGAGGAACCCGCTCTTCCTGAAATACGCATAGAAACTCTCTCTCTCGTATATCTCCAGATTCGTATTTTCACGTAATTATTAAGGTCGACCTTAATAATTAATCAACGCGTATTTCCGATATTGCATTTCTCGCTTCCGCATTAATCCAAGAGAGACCCAACGTTTGTTATTTTTTCAAATTCCATTACGGATCCCAGTC